GGATAAACATGCAGATTCAGTTCCCAAGATACCAGAGTACTCTCCCAAGTAGTGTATTTTTAAAACAGCCCTTTAGTAATGAAATTTGCTTTCTCTTCTCACAGGAATATGTGACCCTTCCCCTCACTTCACCAGCTGCCAACAGCAATGCCATAATACAAGGAATTTTTTAAAGGAGGCCAAAATAATGAAACTCTTGGTTCTTTCCTCCCCCAGCAGACATAGCTAGAAACCTTTTTGAAGGCTTAAAAGGAAGGCTGGCCTTGTTTCTTATCTAGCTGCTACTACTAAATTTGCCTATCTCAAAAATACAAAACCAAAAAGCTTCCTTCCTTTCCTTCCCTTGTGCAGTGTCACTCAGTATTAATGGTGAGTACTTCCATCCCACTCCTAATCCCTGTTACAGTCTGCCTCCACTGCAGTGACAGTATGAGTATCAACATGTAGCAATGATTCACTTCATCTTATTTCAAGCCTTTCTACTGCTAAGTACACCAAACATTTACCTGAAGTCCAACAGCTCTTGACCTTTATTCCTGTCTCTAGGACTACATCAGGTGAGCTTCATCTCTTTTGGTACTAGTTAAACAATATACAGACAGATACACACTTGTTTGCTCAGAATTAGAAACTGCTGTCATACTCCTTTCTATATGTAAAAAGGTCTGTAGATGTTGTTGTCAATATAAACAAAAGTCATACATGCAGGAAAACAGGCCAGAACACAAAAGGAACTGGGATTCAAATGGGAAAGCAACTCCTGATCCAAAGCACCTAAGTAAGGGAGGAAAGCAAATAAACCAAAACAAGATGAACCATATGGCTATTTAATCATGGTTAATGAGCTAACTAATTAGGAGGAGACTTTTTTTTTAACTTATCAACTGATCTTATAAGGTCAACATTGCTGCATTTCTTGCAAATGTGGTGCTTTTTAAGCAATAAAAATCAAATCTGCCTAGAATCGAGAACAGTTTATGCAGCAGGGTCTAGACTCAGTGTGATTTGAAGAAGAAGGTGAGAAAAGGCAGCAGAAAACCTTAAGGAGTGGCAGGTATGTGCTTAATGAATATGCAAGCACCTCTCTACAAATGCCTCTAAGCCAGCCAGCCTGCTGGGAGAACATGACCATCACCGAGTGCCTGATCAGTACCAGGAAGGTCAGAGCCAGAAAGGAGGGAAATGCAGGGCATGAGGAGGAGAAGTGGTAACATGCATACGGTTCACAGCTTGAAGAGGGAAGAGACTGTTCTGAGAGGGTATAAAATAAGAGACAAGAGGTGTAAAATGAAAAAAACTCAAACGAAGAGCATCCCTGAGAACTCCAGCAGAAGCTGTGAGGAGCATGATTCCCTTCTCCTCCTGCTACTCGTATTACTGCACACACAGGAGACAGTTCTCAACCCAATACCAGCATCCTGGATGGCACACATCAGAACAAAAACAGTCTGTAGGCTTGCTGGGGATGCTTGTGATGCTGAGGGTGAGAACTAGACAGACCAGGATGTTCCCAGGAAGGAAATATGGTAGGCAGCAGCATTGGTTGGGGTTTCTTGCAATGATATAGCAGATCATGTTTTACAGAAGCAGAACAATCTTGCCTTTCCAGGGAAAAGCCAGCAAGCATGTGGCTGTCCTGCATAAAGCTTTAAGGGCTGTCACAAAACTAGGAGAAAGAAACCACATTCTCAGGTTCGAGAAATAAGAGTCAATGCTGCTGCATTTCCAAAATGTTACAGCTAGGGCAGTGACACATCCATAGGGTTTGGCCAGCATGGGAGAGCAGGCTGGCCTAGGACTGAGAGCCAGCAATGAGCTGCAAAGGAGCAAAGCAATTAAGGCAACAGGCAGAACAGGTGTTTGCAACAGCCATGCAAGGCATTTATCAAAGCCAAAATTCAGGCTGCTCCTGTAACTCATGCCAGAAATTCAAAGCACCTGGACTTTAGAACTTCAGCTGTGGGTTTGGAAGGACAAGCAATGACTGCTAATACCAAGAGACTTATTCGCTTAAGGCAACTCTTTTGGCAATTCCAGCCATACTCAGTTCTGGTAGTCTGAAGAGTACAAAAACACCTGCTGCCAAAGGCAGTACTGCAGGTTGCTGTACTTGAGGTCAAAGGGACAAGACCAAGAATGGCATGAAAAGGAAGGGTGTGAGGAAATCAAAAGTACCCACTAGTAGTCAAGACATCAAGGGACTCCACTGGCTGCCTCATGAGGCAGCCAACTAACTGTTTTTAATAGTTTTCATGCCACGTAACAAGTCATGAGGGAACATTAGTCATGATTCAGGGAACTATAAATCTATCATTTGAGCTATAAATTGTGCTTAGAAAACTAGGGGTAGGGATGACTGCAAATAACTTATTTCTGTGAGCAAATGTATCTGTAAGCACACAAAAAACCACCTGCACACAGAAGCAAAATCCTTATCACACTGATATTCAGCAAGTTTCTCCTGCACATTTCAGCTATGAACTCTCCAATTTCAGAGTGCAGAAACTTCAAATCTCTAGGCAGGATGTACTTCCCCCGCTGTATTCACTCATTATTTCTCCAACTTCTGAGTTTAAAGAGCCAATTTCACTCTATATCCTGCCATATCTAGGATGACTGAAAGAAGTCACTAAAGACCACCCAATATAAACGCTCTTCAATGGAAACAAGGGTTTAAAGTGTGCCAGTCTTATTTCCACTAACAGTAAGTATCTGGCAAACTTGAAACTTTTATACATGGGGTCTGTAAAAGCAATATTCAGCCTAAGATAGGTTATCTTTAACCAGTAATCACAGTTGTCAGACACAACAGAAAAAAACCCCCACATGGTCACTCTTTACTCTTTAGTAAACTTCCCTTTTACTTAAAAAGGTACTTCCTTTATTAGTCATGGGAGAATGCCCCTACAGAAAGGTAGCTGGCCAAAAGATCTTTTGAAATGCTATTATGTGTGTGCAGCTAGGCAATTTTGCACAAGATTGCCTCTTGTATTGGTGTGGCAGGTCTGAAATATGACGTGGTGAGACAGAGCAAGAAAATCAGAAGCTGGAAAGGTGCTTGTATGTGAAGGTAGGGGTTGCCTAAGGAAATGATAGAGTAAAGCACCAAGCCTAGAACATGGTTTCCTTTCAGAAATCAAGATACAGTTTGGTAGAATATGTAATCAAAGATGTTGTCCAGCAGGCAGATGGTATAAGGCTGTCAAACACTCAGGGTAAAACATTTCTGCCACACTAGTTTTGTGCAGTTTTAAAGAAATTATGCCTGTATCTCAATTTTCTTATCAGAATGTCTAGATTTCCTTATAGTCCTTATAGTAAAGCAGACTATTTTCAGGAAAAGTAGGTTTCAAATCAGTATTTCTTTAAAAATTGAACATATGTTGGTAAGTCTCTCTTCAGGGAAATTTAACCTCTCCTACTAATATTTGCAACCTAGTCATTAGTCTTCTGTTAATGGTAACCAGATGTAATTAGCCAGTATTGCTTCTCTCCTTTAATTTTTTTTTTAACTTTCCAATTAAAAAGCATTAGCATACAAAAACCTGTTTTGGATGATAGACAAACTTAACATTGCTCTCTCAGCACTCACTAGTCTTGTTCAGAGAAAGATACCTAGATTCCTACTTTTAAATAGTTCTAGATTTTTCAGTTGAGTTGGTGACATTGAATCTAACTACAATAAAGAAAGACTAACATAGAAAAAATATTAGAAAATAAAGAGACCCCAAAGTTTTGAGTTTCATTTGCAAGTTGAAAGGCTTGAAACCTACATTATGTCAGATGGCACTAGGCACACTTCTGACTTTCCAGTAGCAAGTGCCCTATGGAAAGCACACAGTGTTAACACTCACAACAGAGTCATTAGAGTTGGCAACAGGAAGTTCCTTTTCCCCCAGAGAAGCATTCTTTACCCTACAGCAATATCTACTGTTTGGCGGTGACCCCAGAGGGATGATGTGACATTAATGAAACTGGCAACATGACATCCTTTGAAGCGTGAATGTCTGACAGAGGCTGGTAAGGGGACAAAGGCAGCAGCAGCTCCAGTTCAGGATCTCTATCTCGCTTGGGTTTTATTAGGGTGAATTCTTTAAAATTTAATATTCCAGCAGCTACACATAAAAAGTCTTATCCTAAAGGCTAAGTGAGCTCGATTAGGTAGCCTTTCACCCTCACATCAGCATTTTATCTGCATTTTTGTTTTGCACTGACACAGATATAAGCATATGGACTGCAGACAAGTAGGACATGCTGAGAAGCACAAGGGTAAGAGCAAGACTCCCTTCTCTAAACTTAGTGTTTGTCAAGTTCTGGCCCAATCCCTTCTTTAAGGGAGTCCTTCCAACTTCCATTTGCTTAGAAAGATTTCTGAATGCTTAACTCCTGTTTAACTCTCAGGGCTCAAAAGCTTCTTACAGCTTTCATGTGCTAAAATGCAGATTTCTTTATGGTGACAAAATTACAATATTTTTCCTTAAAAATAAAACTGAAAAGCGATCAATCTTCATATACAATTCAAGTTTGGTTTTGAAGAACTATTAGTTCCATAAAATAAACTTGATCCAGTTACAGCTATTAGGCATTTCAATTAGGCATGCATTCAACATTTTATCTGCCTTAACCATAAGGCATCATCACTTCAATTTCCTACTTAGCTGCCATTTTACAAATTGCTGCAATTCCACCTGCTTTCTGTTCAAAAAGAAGATTATTATAAATTCAAAGGCCAATTTGAATTTGGCTTTTAAGGGCAAATTTAAGGTTTTTAAGGCAGCTTCCAAGCTTCCTCCTTCTCCCCACTCTTAAACTAAGGATTTTCTGTATGAGTAATTGTGTTTGACCTATTTATTTGCTGGCACAGTATTTTTTTCTTTCCTTTCACAAAAAAAAAAAGGAGGAGGAAGGAAATGTTAAAGTAGCCTTTGCCTAATAATTTTAAACCAAGCTCTACACAGGAAGGTAGATAATGACACTTACTCTTGTTTACAAAGAATTACTTCAGCTACATTCCCCTATGCCCAGAGGGTGACAGCTGAGCAACCATTTCACAGACCAGCAAAAATGCTTCCCTCTGTGTTTCTTGGAGCCACCAACACATTTGTATTGCAAAGGAAAGCCTTCTTGCTAGCAAACCAACTTAAAAAGCCCTCCTGATTTGGACTGATGCCAGCCTTGGCTTCACAGGAACATATATTTTTAAAAAGCAACTTTTGGAGACATTGTCTGTATTTGTCCCTGCAAAGGGAAGGGGCAGGGAGTGCAACAGCTGGGGCATTCTGGGGCTGCCATGGAAGTTTCAGGCTAAAAAAGAAAGCACCTCTGTGATCCTAGGATCCTCTACAAAAATCTTTTCAACCAAGATTGTGCTGGAGGAGGAAACAGCACTGCCTTCCAAGGAAGTGTCTCCCATCAGTGAGGAAACCTGCAATGGAGAGCAGCTGCTTACCCATCACTGCCACCTCTGCCCTCACCTGCCCCCACAGAAATTGCTGCTTGTGTGTGAGACACAGGGGGATGCAGAGCCCTTCTCCATGCCCCAAGCACATGCATCTGCTTTTGCATCCTTTTTAAACAGCCACGACAAGCAGAGACAAACAAAGAAAATGAACTGTAAGTATACACATGAGGTGGTTTTGCATTTGCTCAGATGGAAGATGAATGGTGAAGACAGCATTTACCCTGAGGACTACACACCTCCCTAATTTCATTATTTAACTCTGTGAGACATTATTTTTTATCTATGATTCCCATATGAAACAATTCAGGGTCACCTTATAAAATATATTGCGTATTTAAACAACATTTTTCCTAGGATGAATATGTAAATACATAAAAGCAGAAAAAGGGTATAATCCAGTCTGTATCTTTGATTTCTCCTGCTTGTATTTTTCCTTTATGTTTCTTTATCAAATCCTACACCAGGACAGAGTCCCACTAACAGCAATAAATTGTCATTTACAGATTTTAAAGTGTTTTATAACTCTTATTTAATATGTAAATGCCAATATATGTGTTATGTAGTCTCTTACTGACAGTTGCTACAGCAGAAAACATTCAAGGATCTGCAAGTTAGTCAAACCAACAATGGTTCTAACCAGACTTCAAACTTCTTTTTCTCTAGAAAAACATGGGTTTCTAAGGCCTTATTGGACATGTTGCTGTCCAGTTCGAGGTGAAAACTTTGCTCAAGAAAATAAGACTCAACAGAGACCGAAGCATCTTTAAAACTACTCTGGACGAGACAAGTTTGTAATACAGTTTATTGCATGCTCTCCCCTAACTGTAGATTCAAGAGGCAACTCAGATTTTCAGCATCATCTTTCATTTGTGCTGATTTCCAACAGGACTTGATCCAGCTTCTTAAGTTGTTTTGGTTTGATTTTCTTGTAACATCACTACCTACATCTAGGTGACTAAATAAGCTACTTCTGTCAGAGCCTTGATCTGCGGCACACTCTTGGAACTCAAGTAGCAAGATGGCTATAACATTTAATCGTGTCATTAACTAAGCACACTCTTTTCAACAGTGTCTCTAACACGTGGCAGCCACCTTGAACTACATACCTGAGATCTGGCTGGCAGTTTATTTCATTTGTGTAACAAGTCTACATAGAAAATACCAACTGTTTTATGCCTTTGACAGCTGTAAAACAGACTTAGGCAAGTCACTCAATGAAACAATATCAAGATATAATTTGCAGCGGTCTTGTAATTGAGTTGGCAATTTGGTTATTACCAGAGGCTTTTTTACCTCTGAAAAGCTTTTAGTATAGAATAAACAACCAACATTCAAAAAAACCCTTCACCAAAACAATTCCGTAAGAACTCCTTAGAAATGAGTAAACAGCACCCACTAAAAAAAGAGGGCCACATGAATGAAGACACTAGTACTCCCAAAGGGAAATACTGATAATGGAAGATGCAACAGCTAACCCTTAATAACCTCAGCCTTTGTGGATCAAGCAACCTGTTTTGAGTCTGCATAACACAAGTAGTTCAGCAAAGCATCAATTTCAGAGACTAATAGTAATTATTTGACTTTTAAAGTCTTCTACAGCACTTGATCCCTTGAGCAGTTAAATGCAGAAACCAATAACCTGGCATTGAATTTCTGCACTCTCTATTTGTAGAACATTCTCTTAAAATGCAGGCTATATTGAAAAATCATCAGTTTCTCTGACTCCACTGTTTCTATTTTATAGCAATTCAGTACATGCCTGTCTGTGTCAGGCTTCTATACAAGACTTATTCATCAAGACTGGCTTAATTTATTACTGAAAACCAATCCTGAGTTACAGGTTTACCTATAAACAAAAAAAAAAAAATCAAGTAGTCTAAAGTCACTACATTAATTCATAGCCTACAGCTGTCATGGTATAGAACTGCTCTCTAACTTGTGTTGGAATTAAGACTCCTGTGGACATTTGGAGGGTTACTACAAAGCAGGAGGTACCCTGGTCTCTGTTCCTCAAGCTCAGCGATTCAAAGGGCATGTGATGGGCTGATACAGCTGCACCACTTATTGACCAGAGCACATCAAGAGGATGTGCTATCCTTTAGAGGATACACAAGTTTTGAATAAATGCCTTCCAAGAGAAGATTGTTGCAAACTGAATATACCTTGAACACCTGGTCTAGAGGGATACAGAAGTATTTTTTATAAAAAGATGACCAGGGAGCAAATGGCATTATATTAATTCACTCCAACTACAACCATTTCAGAAGAGATAGACATTATCTTATTACGGTTTTTATTTAGAGAAAAGGAAAGTTAGGCTGTCCAATAGGAGTAAGACATCAAATGCCAATGAGATTTAAATGCAAACTAGCTGACCCCCTTTCTTGTGTTCACCCACCAAAAAGCCCCAAGCCCACCAGCCAACTTCCCCATAAGAGATGACTTCCTTTATTTCTTTAGTTACTGAGAAAAACTGAGTGGCAGTGACAGCTTAATGCAGAGGAGGAAGTAGTGATAATTTTAAAAGTCAGTCATGGCTTTTTTGACAAGTCATTAGCCTAAGATCATGAGCCATTATTTCCTGACACTGTGACTATCACTGACAGTCACAAGGGTATGGAAAACACTGCTCAAAAAACCCTCACTGTAAAACAATCCATTTTGTTATTGAAATGTTTGTATGTGGGAGCATATCACACCCATAATCCTTCCTATCACAGAGAACTAAACATTTGAGTATCAGTAACATCCTGCCCCGACCCTGTCTTCTGTCTGTGTTACTTGGAGTCCTCAAGTGTCCAGGAGCTCTTACCTTCACGCCATGGCCAACATCATCCAGCACCGTGTAGTCTATAGGTTTTCGAATATACCTTACAGGACGTTCCATGTTCGCTGGTGCTATAATTTTGTGAGTTCTTGATGTGTTCTTATTGGTCGTCAAAATGCCTATCTCTCTGCGAGCGACCTTTTCTTTATGGATGTCCACAGTCTAGATTAAAAACAAGAAAGTATGGGTTTCTTTAAGCATTTGCTGTTTTCTTTACAGAGCTAGCTGCATGTTTAGGTTTCACTGTTAGACAAAGAGTCTGAACGAAGTTAATGCTGCTGGAAGGATGCCAGTTTATTGATGAAATGAGTTTAATCTATACAAATGTTGGTAGAAAATTACACCTTAATTAAATAACCAATATTAATAATAAAATTACGATTCTGTGTTACTGCTTCAACATCCTATAGACACTATGCAGATAGAGTCCTCACAGATTAACCCTCAGTGTTCTTATGACTGACACTGGTAATAAATTACTCCAGCTCCACAGCTGGGAAACCAGGACAGACAAGCTAAGCAATTTGCTCAGAGCCCCAGAGGGGACTAAGCTTGGGAAGTCTGTGCGGTAATTTCTTTCAGCAAAGCCATCAGAGCATATCAGAGTGAGAGTCTGCACAGGTAGGGACTAATTTCAGCACTGGGACTAGTTTCAGTCATACTGTTTATAGCCGCTTTACTGAAAGAATAAAACAAAGCTTTGCAAGTAAAGGAATACAAAATACGCTGCATTCTATTCAGAAAAATAATAAAAAAAAAAATGAGACAAAGATCAGCCCAGCAGTCTTTGAAAAAACAAAGCTTCACATAACAGACACATTCTTCTACATGGAATATAATCACAGTTTAAACCCTAGATTGGATGCCATAAAAGTCCCATTTCTAGGAAGCCTATTTCAAGATTCAGGGATTGAATGTACCAGCTTAAGTACCTACTAGAACGTCAGGTTCACATTGAAGGAGATGGTATCTGACAAAAAAATGCCCCTTTGAGCACAACCTCTCAAGCCACTTATCCACTGAGGAAAATAAATCTTAGTCTATAAGCATCAATTCCTACTAGAAAGGCTATAATAGAAAAAAACAGTGAAGGTTCAGAAAGAAAAATCCTTGTCATCCTAAATCCTACCTTATTTAGGTACATACCTAAAAATGGTTTAATCTAAAATTACTGTTGTGAAGCACATGGTTTGTTTAGTGAAGCAAAGTCAAAGATGAAGCATAAAATTAGTTGATATTTCTACTCCTATGTGAGCCAAGATTAAAAAAGCAAGATTAGTATTCAGGAAATTAACATTTCTAGGAAAGCCAGCATTCAGCGGTCACTGTGAAATGTCTTCAGCTGAACTGTTGTTTTCATTAACTTGTGCACATGCTCAAATAATCTTAAATTCTCCTGACTACAAAAAGACAAACATGTAAAACCCTTCCTTAACAGTTCAGATAGGCAGCATTGCGGACTACAAGCAGGAATACAGGTAGAGAAGCACCTAAAAACAGTGATTTTCACAGCTTCAAGCTAAATAACAGAATACTTGAAACACTGCAAAAGGTTCTTTTACTTTTAAAGCACACAGAATCTTAATAGAAGTAAGAGTTGTAATTTTCCAGAGCAATGCAAGACATTAAGTGTGCATGTCTTCATTAGCTTATTTGGAATAAATAAAATATTCTAGTAAAACTTTGGAACATGCTTTATTGTTCTAAATGCTCACATTCTGAAAAATCCTTAAATCAGGAATTTTAAAAATGCCTTTCCAAATGAGACAATCCTATTCATCAAGTATTTACCTCCATCAGTATCAGGTATCACCCACTGCATCCACGTTTTCTCTGGCAGCCGATTTCACAGATGATAGAATGAAGACTAAAGAATGAGATTGGTCTAATTTTTTCCAATGCAGCTATTATTTGTTCTTTTCCTTTTAGAGACTGAAACATACATATTAGTTCTGCCTTTTCACTGTTTTCTTGATCTTGCTGAAAGAATTATGAGGGCTGTGCTACATGTTCATCTCTCTTCCAATTTTTCTGCACAACCTGCACCTTTCTGTTCAGTAACAGCAGGTCACAAACTATCTTACAAAACTCTTTAAATAATAAGCAACTCTCCATATTTCTTAATACATGAGCCCTGCATAGGAGAGAAAAAGAACCAATTTTAAAGTCCCCTGAATAATGGAGCAATTTAGGAGGCTGAGAACATCAATTTAAAAAACATACAACAATGTTTCAAAGTAGGCTTCTCTAAAATACAGCTAGGTCCCTAGAAATAAATCCATGCTTCTACTTCATCTTCACAAACCAAATCTGTTGTTACTAAGAAACTCATTTTTTGTTCAGTGGATGGACAAAGATGCATCTTTATACTAAGAGTTCTCTTAACACTGACCGCAAAATAAAAAAGGCAAAACAAAGTCCTTCACAGTACAAAAACCCCCCATCTTTTTCTAGCAGGTAGTCTGTGAAACTGACTTTTCCTCCCTGCAATGGACAATGAAAATTCCATAAATTACTGGAACCGAGGATAAGAAATTCCAGGAAGAGATGTTGTACCATACATGCTTTGGAAACTGACTTAAATAATATTGCAATAAATTGCTGTTAATGAAAATACCTCATAGAACAGGAAAATACTATATATTAATTTTATCAGACAGCTTATCCAAAATTAAGTATGGAGCAGTGATTTGTAAAGTCTTGGCATGAATTTCAGTGAGGAAAAAGTAGAGTATCTGTACCACAGTGCAGGGAAGCTACAGGGCACATATGTAAATCCTGAAAGGCATTCAGATATGCCTGTGCAAGAGACTAATCTGCTGCTCAAAGCAAACGAGATTTCAACTCCTACCACATCTGGTGCACTGGAAAAGCAAGGCAGGATTTTACCCCTATGCAAAGCAAAGGCTCACAGCATATGCTTTGCCCACAGCAATAGGCTGCCCGTCAGAGCTACCAGACAGCATCTTACTTCTTAAATAAATTATTGGGCTTTTTTAGATCTGCATATTATTAAGTCTTATGTGAGCACTATGGAAACTAAACCACACAACATTTCGTCATTCTTCTATTTTCATTTATGTCTGCTTGATGTTCATGTGGAAGTTTATTGTTTAGTCATAGGTGATATTTTTCACTTTCAAAAGAGGAAAAACTCAACACACAAGCAATTTTTAGTAGGACAGCAAAGCTTTCCAGCCAGTCAACAGTTAAATTTCCAAGAAAGACAAGCCACATATACCAGGTCACAGTTAAAAAACAGACCATTATCAAAGCTCTGGTCACACTTGACATCTGCAGCTATGAGTGTTTGTTCTGACATGGTAACAAGACAGCTAAACTGTAGTTGGTTTGTGATTTCATGCACAAAACCTAGTTACAGATAACAAAGATGGAGAGGAGCAAAGTATGGCTAACTGGCATGGGTTAGCACAGGCTTCAGGTGCCTTTGACCTCTGCTGAAACAAATACATAGCACAATTTAAAATCTGGGGAAAAGGGCAGGGATTTTCACTCCTAGACAACATAATCCAGTGAGACAAAGGCAAGCTTTATATTGATTTGGAGAAGGAAAAGACAGTCATTCCAGAAGGACAATGTGTATCCTTTGGGAAGCAAATTTAAATGAACTCATCAAACAAACCCCTTTGCCATTACAACTGAGTGCCAGGGACTAGTCAAGCTATTCCAGAAGCTTGGCGGTTGAATGAACTGTTAATTATTAGCTGCCTCCACTATTTGTCTTCTTTAAATCATATAAAATTTTAAAAACCAACAAACAGTTGAACAGCAGGATGTAGAGTTAAATTTTAACTGTTTGATTCCTTAGAAGTAGCCTCAAGGCTAAGTGAAGCACAGCAATGATACAGCAAATCAAGTTCTTTTATTATCCTGTGCTGTAGATACCACTCTGCCCATGTGCTAGAGCATGGTAGCCCAGAACAATTTACAGTAAATAGAGACTGGAGTGTCTCTGACCAAGCTAATATAAGGGTATCTAAACATTTTAATAAAGCTCACACATATGGAGTTATAAAAATAAAAAAGAAAAACAATTAAAACTTCAACAGTCATTTTACTCCTGAACCACTGCAACTCAAATTAATGAGTTTAAGGAAGAGTAAAAAGTCACTTCAAGGACATTTCCTTGGTCATAAAAAAAGCTAACATTCAAATACATAACACCAAAAAAAAAAAAAGCTAAGATTACACCACCACCTTTAATGGCAGCTTTTCAGGCCATTTCATGCAATGCTTTTAAGAACTTTCACATCATACAAAAATTGCCCTGTGCCACAGAGAGCTGCAAGCCAGTAACTTTCCAATTTGTCCCTAAACTCACTCAGAGAAGAAGGAATGTAGGATCACAATCCACAGACTTCCTTAAGATGCCAATTTCTCTAAAGCAAGGGGACAAGGAAGACTAAGCAACTTGTTATTGGCAACAGTTTTCTGTAATTTTGACATTGTTTCTCCATATTGCTTTTTCAGCTCGCGGTTAAATATAGGGTTGGGTCTCTTAGTAACACTTTATTTCAGGCAAGTAGAGCCCTGATTACAGGGCATAAGTGCTATATATACCTAAATGTCAGCAGAATAGATTACAATTACTTTATCCAAACAAAGCTAAGACATATCAGCCATGCAAGCAGCATGACCTGCTACCACTTGGCATCCCCATCTTCCTACTGCACTCGCTGTAATCACATGTCCCGAGGCTCAGCAAACTGTTCTGCACAAACTCGGAGCTGCATTTCCCCAAAGGAAGCTGCTCCACACCTGAAGTCCTGTGTGCACTCTGGAGCAGCTCAATGCAAGAAGGATAAACTATCAGAGTGTGTCCAGAGGAGGAGACCAAGATGGTGAAAGGTCTCAAGGGAAAGCCATACAGGTGGCTGAGGTCACTGTTTCTTCAGCCTTGAGAAGTGAAGGCTGAGGGGTGCCCTCATCACAGCTGACAACTCCCTCAAGGGGGGCAGTGTCTCAAGGGAAGGTGCTCATCTGCTCTGGTGAGCAGCAACAGGATGTAAGGAAATGGAATGAAGCCATGTCAGGGGAA